GACACAATCCTCATCCTGCAATCTCCTGCCCCCTCGGAGATTCATGTCTCTGTCTTCGAAAGGGTAAGTCAGCGCTGCCTGAGGCCAATCGCACCATGATGATCCCTCATCAGCCGGTACCCATCCGACAACTAAAGCTGCCCATGCCAATCGCATCTAATGAAAGATCCCCCAACCGGTACCCCTCAGACGACCTGATTCAACCCTCTCTCCGTCCTCACGAAGAGTCATCTCATGCCATTTACCCTCCACCTTGAACAGATCCCCCAAAAACCAACAGAACCTCCACTCACCTATCCCCCCTTCGCCTCCCCAACTTCGTCCTAGTAAAGAGTTTGAAAGACCATGTTCTCAACAAGAGCCAGACACAATCCTCATCCTGCAATCTCCTTCCCCGTCGGAAATTCCAGTCTCCGTCTTCGAGGGAGTGAGCTTGCACTGCCTGAGGTGAATCGCATCAAAGTAAACCCTCATCAGCCGGTACCCATCCGACAACCAAAGCTGCCCGGCGCCAATCACATCCAATGAACGTTCCCCTAGCCAGGACCCCTCAGACAGCCCCGATGCCACCCTCTCTCCGTCCTCACAATACGAATTTACTAAATTTTAGAAATGAATTTTAGCCAATTATTTGAGACCATCTCAGACAAAATCCTCAAAAAAATAGTCGTGAGACCCTTAGAAACTAAAAACAGATGTGGACTGAGTATAAGATTGAAGATCCATTGAAAAACAATCCAGTAAATTTCCTAGAGTTTAAAGACAAGCTACAAATTTATAGGAATATACCATCAGATGCCCTAAGTAGGACTTTCGACCAATACTATGAAGCTTGAAAAATCAATCAAAATTAACCTGTGATTGGAAATAAGATCCGATAGGAATTGATTATCCAAATTGGAATGACGAAATTTACGAAAGATCGTACGAAATTTAGGATTGGATATTCATGAAGGATTTTCGAATCAGGATCCCAAACCGTGGTTTGAGAAACGTTAGCAAAGCTGTATGGCACGAAAAATTAAGGAAGGAAAATTGTAAAAATGAATCAACAATCAATAGAGAAATTCACTAAGACAATAAACGTACCCAATCAGATTAGTTCTTCGGGAATTTGAGATCGAAACAATCCTCTTATGAGCAAATCTAGATTAGAAAATCAGGGTTATTTAAGGGTAAAATTTATGAAAATCTATGAAAAACGATAGCAAAATGATTAGAGAACGATTAGAAAATTCATCACATCTCGAGCATGGCAGAAGCAGAGCAGAATCTTTCCACTCCTCGAGCTCACCCCTCTTCCTCCAAAAACCACCTATTACCTTCATCCCCTCAAACCCTACCCCTCATCATTTCCGGGAAACTGCTAGTTCACAGGCATAGACGATACACTAACACTGAAAACAAATTCGACAATCGTCAAAAACGACAGTGTGGCTGCTCCTTACCAGACCTGTTAGTAAGTCACCACAGGGAGTTCAAGCGTACAAAACTAATACCCTACTTGAGGAAGGGGGGGAGAGCTCGAAAAATAGAACAGTTAAGGAGAAGCCACAGCATCAATCCGCTGAAAGGCATGACTAAACTAGAGGTTCCTTGTCTCCGTGCTCCCTCCTGCTACTATGATGCCTATTGTTACAACGACCGCTACAGGACGAAGACGCGTGAGAGATTAGATAAAATTTCGTCGAAATCACCTCGCATAATGGAGCAACGCAGCACGTGTTGTCTTCCATATCTCCTGCGCCCGCCCAGACGGCCTCTTGGGCACGCTCAGACGCCCTCTTGAGCCCGCTCAGACGCTCTCCTGGGCACACGCTCCACCGCGCCAGGTTCCCGACCGCGCCATCGCCCGTGCTTCGCCCCACTGCGCCGCCACCCGCCATTTCCAATCGCCAGTGTGAAAACGATGGTGGGAACCGGTTCAGGGTTGGGCGCAGCGCTCCCGGTAGCGAGGTTTTTCACATTCATTCAAGGAATTTGGTGAATTATGACGCGGTGTAACGACGCCTATTTCCTGAAAGAGGATTTCCAAGAAGGGTCTAACCAAGCCCTTATGCTGATTCTTCATTTCCTACAGTCTATCTTCGTAGTCTGCGGCCAGAAAATGAAAATTCGGGTACGTGGGACTTGGCCCGGACATGTCACGGTTCTGGCTGCTACGGGATTCCCCGTATGCCTACAATTAGGAGTAGTGGTAGGTACGTAGTGTGAGGTGAAATTGAGAGAAGAATATAGCTTTTGAAAAAAAAAGGATGTCCTCAAGGATCAAAGTTGAATTTTGAAATGGACTTCTGAATTTTGAGGGAAAAACAAAAAAAAACAGATGATGTATAATATGACATATTCTGGGTCTCATAGCAGACCTATCCTCAGGGGCCCGAAGGAAGTTTCCTTGGGGGTTTTCAAGGAAATTCCCGCCATCGTCCCACCTGTTCTCGGGGACGTGGCCCGATTACATTTCCTTCGAACGATATCAGACAAGAAAAAAGAAAAGAAAAGAAAAAATCAAATGTGTTTGAGGCCTTCAGCCAATAGGGTGCCGCCACGATCCAGATTCTCTGTTGTAACGTCTCTCTACCCATGTGCCCGCTCCTATCCGTGAAACGCGGATTCCTTTTGCCCAAGGGACCTCGTGAGGTCCCTTGGGCAAAAGGAAGAAATGGCCGAGGTGCACCGGTGGTGGGTCTGCGGGTAGGGCTAGCGCCGGGCATAACTTGGTAGCAGGTTCACCTTCTCTGTGTCTCCGTTCCTGCTCCGGATTTAAACCTGCGATCTACCAACTGGTCCGGGTCGCTGGCACTACGGTACAGTTACCTGAAGAAAACCGACAGCCTTTTCGCACTCGGCGAGGTCCGCCATGGGGGCCACCGTGCATATCCCAGGGAAGTATGTGGTGTTCGGATTTGAGCCTGCAATCTGCCAACTGGTCTCGGCCGCTGGGACTACGGTACAGTTAGCGGACGAAAACAGCCATAATTTGAGTGGTTTTCACACTCCGCGAGGCCGGCCATGGTGGTCACCCTGCATATCCAGGGAAGTATGTGGGTGTCAGATTTGAGCCTGCGGTCTACCAACTGGTCTGGGCCGCTGGCACTACGGCACAGTGGCCTGAAGAAAACCCACAGCCATAATTCTTGCGTGTTTTTTTTTTTTTTTTTTTTTTTTTTTTTTTTTTTTTTTTTTTTTTTTTTTTTTTTTTTTTTTTTTTTTTTTTCCTTGCGTGGTTTTCACACTCCGCGAGGCCCGAGGTCCGTGACACGTTTTCAACGCAACCAGTCTCGCGTATCCTGCTTTTACGAACTGTATTACTTTCCCAATGTAATCTGACCGCAAGCACAACCAGACCTGAACGAATCTGACCATAATAACGTCCAGAGCTTAGGGCCAGATCCCACTGGCAAAGAGGATTGGAAGAAATGTCTGAATCTGGACGTGTTTGTGGAAAGGTGCAAAACATTGTGATTGATCTCCTTTTCTGCACCTCTGCGTGGAACCCGTCCAGATTCAGACATTTCTTCCGATCCTCTTTGCCAGTGGGATCTGGCCCTTAGTAGAAAAATTCATAGCGCGAGTATGCCCTCAACCTTCCCGGATGCGCTCCTTAGTAGAAAAATTCATAGCGCGAGTATGCCCTCAACCTTCCCGCATGCGCTCTCAAATACTCCTCGTGCCTCTCCCGACTTCCTTTAAGATTTAGATGTCATGTGTGTTCTAACTTTTCGGAGAAGCTCACACCTGAGTTTCCGATCCTGTCTCGACCCGTAGGATGATAACCGTGGTCACTCTGTTGTTTGAGCGTGCGGATTAGATAGCGTCTATAATCAGACCCTACTGCTAGATAACCATTTCCAGGAGCTTACTCTCGTCCGCGTAAGGCTGCTCTCTTCCGCGTAAGGCTGCTCTCGTCCGCGTAAAGCTGCTCTTCAGCAAAGCCGACAGACAGACACGATTGCATGGGTACTCTTTCCATATCCACAGAAGCGCTGTTTCTACTCTACTGTTGCTCATCTTCTTCGCATCCTACACCTCCCATGCGTGTGTTCTTGCATCGTACGAAACCACTCCGTTTGTTTGATTGGCAATCGACTAGCGGATCATAGGAAGCATTAGGAATGCATAGACGTGTTCGATGACGATTGCTTTTTCCTGCCTGCATGCTCTTAACGTACCAGGACGGCGAGACGATTGCTACCTTGCTGCGTTCGTACGTTTCCAGCGTGCATGCTCTTAACGTACCAGGACGGAGAGACGACGGTGAGGGAATTTCCTTAACGCTGCTGAACTGACTCCCACCACATCTGAAGTCTATGATGCTCGAGCGGTGAACGTACACTCGAGGGGGTGGGACTGTCAGTCTTTTCTGATGCGGGATTTTGTCTGTCCAGGCGACATCTGTGATAGCTAGAAGTCGATCTAGACTCCAGCTTCAACTGCATCGGCAGTCTAAAGCAGAGGCGCGATCAGCTTGGCATGACTTGGCAATATTGTACACAAGGAAAAGAGGTTATGCTTTAGAGGTCCGGAACCCGGTTTCTATACCTTGATTGAGATCTAGAGCGAGAACGGAGCGAGGGATTAGCTAGGACTGCTGCAACTTCTAGATCCTCCTTCATTGGCTGTCTGTAGAATCGTGTAGATTAGGATGACGCTGGTTTGCAGTATGTGTGGGTGCATAGTGGATGGATAGCCCATCGGATTAAAAACGTCTCCGTCCCCGGGGCTGATCCTCAGTCAGCGTCTCTGGTGCTGCCACGTGGAGGGTGTTAGAAAAACAAGGTGACTTTGGAAAATTTCGGAGCTGCTGAGGAGAAACGCTGACGTCATTGTTCTTGGTGGGAGTATGCCAGCCATGGACGTCGATCGTCTTCCAGCTGCTGCTATTGGCATCGATCTAGGTTTCTCGACTTGTTGTGTGGCAGTGTGTGGAGGGAAGGATGCCGCTGATATCATTCCGTGTGACGATACGCGTTTTGGTGATTCTCTCGTTGCGTTTTCAGTCGACGGCGGAGAGAGATGGATTGGCAAGCAAGCGAGGATGGTCGTAGAGCAGAATCCTGAACGTTGTGTGTACGGCATGAAGAGGATCATCGGACGGGCTTTCCGGAACGAAGTGGTTCAAGCTGACGCTCGCGCTTACCCTTTCAGCATCGTGGAGGGGCGTCGTGGCGAGCCTCTCGTAGTTATCGACAGCGAAAAAGGACAGCAGAAATACTCTGTTGAGCATATTACAGCTATGCTACTTGGCCAACTGAAGGCCAACGCCGAGAAGTACCTCGGCAGGCCGGTGGTTGATGCCGTCATCGCGGTTCCCGCTGGATTCAACCAAAGCCAGAGACATGCGATGATCGACGCTGCGGCCATCGCAGGTCTGAATGTTCTCCGACTTGTCAACGAGACGACGGCTGCTGCTTTAGCCTCGGCTCATCTGACGGCGAAGGAAACGAAATCGGACGGTTTCAAGAAGGTTCTGATCCTCGCCCTGGGAGGTGGGATGTGCGAGGCGAGTGTTCTTACTGTTGCAGGGGACACTCACAGAGTAGAGGCTGTGCAGAGCGACACTAGTTTGGGCGGAGAAGACTTCACCGTGAGATTGATGCAATTGCTGAGCAGAATGATCCCTGGAGTAGAGTGCAATCCGGTCATGCTCGGGAGGTTGAGGTCCGCGGCGGAGACAGCCAAGCGCGCACTCTTTCTCCGAGAAACAGCGTTCGTTCCCCCTTACTCTCTCACGGAGACGGAGGGACGCAAGCTCACCGTGAAACGGACGGATTTCGAAGCCGCGACCTCCGACCTCTTGCAGAGATGTGAAGGGCTTGTGAGGCGCGTGTTGGTGGCCGCTTCCTGTTCGAGGGAATCCATCCACGAGGTCGTGCTGGTGGGTGGCGGGACACGAATCCCAAAGCTGATACACGTTTTCCATGAAGCCTTCGGAAAAAACAAGTTGCTTAGTGGGGTCGAGGTGGAGGAGATCGTCGCTAACGGGGCCGCATTCTTGGCGTGGAGTTTGTCCAGGAGGCGGCATTCCGGAATGGCAGTTGACGGACCGAATGTGGTCGGCATAGCGTCCAGATGCGTTCATGCGATGTGGGGAGCTTCGGCAGGTGGAATGCAGGTCATACAGAGCAACGACATGCTTCCAGCCCAAGCCGGTGCTCGCCTTGTTCTTCCTTCTCAGACGTGGGACCAATGTCCGCACGGTATACTGATCGAGAACCTGGACGACAAGTGCAAGCTCACGCTGACGGGGTTAAATCCGGCGATCGAGAAAACCGTAGAACTTGTGGTTAAGATGGATGAAGACGGACTTCTCTCTGCTGAAGGGCGGGGGTCATTTACCGGGCGAACAGTCCCAGTTTCCATAGTAACTAGAGTTGCACGGCTTACAGGAGAGGAAGTCACTGCTCTCGTGAAGGACAGGGAGGAGTACTGCAGTTGGGAAGAGGAGAGGACAAGACGAAGGGAGGCATCGAACCACCTCCAGGCGTTTGCTGATCAGCTGTCGAGCTCGAGTATTCCACCGAGGCTGTCTTGCAAAGTCAAGAACGCGGAGAAAGAGATCGAGCTCGTGATGAGTTGGTTGCGAGAGACGGTCGAGTCGGACCCGCTACCTATTCAGGAGTACGAGCGGCGACTGAAAAGGCTCAAGTTTACGTACGCAAAGCGCAAGTTCATGATGATCGTCTCTTCGGAGCAGGAAGAGTGCTGTAAGAAGTGCAAGAGGAAGCAGCCAATCCGCGATCTTGCGGACGAGCTTAACGTGCTTGCAACCGCGAAGCAGCTGTCCCAGCAACGTGTGGAGGTCTGCGACATCATCTTGGCTACGCCAGCCTCCGGAGTTGGTGAGCCGCAGAGCATGCAGAGCAGACGGAAGGGGTTTTGGAATCCCGCTATCATCGTTAGGCCCGGCGACTCCGTCGATTACGAACAGCTGAAGAGGAAAGGTTTAGTTCAATACCTCATCCCTGCGAGGTGTCTCGAGGAGGAGTACCTCTTTGCGTTGGACGATGACGTCAACGTAAGCAAGGTCGCCCTCACGAATGGATTGAAGACATTTGTGCCCGTAACGGAAACTTCGTTTCAACTAACGGACATCCTGACGGACAAGAAGTCAGGAGCAGATCCAGTAGTCCAGCAACTGGAGAAACTTAGCGGAGAGATCGACGGCAAATGGAGCGACGTGGTGGTTGTCTATCGGCCTCGCTCACAGGCAATTCAGAAAGGCATTCCTAATACTGAGGCGATCGACAGTATTCAGCAATCGCACGAGCGGATCAGAGATTGGATAGCTGGCCATGTCGATGACGAAACTGCTGCCGGCACTCACATCATTTATGGCGGCTTTGTTAATCGTCGGTGCTGGGCGCTATTAGCGGAAAAGCCCGACGTGGACGGGTTCCTCGTAGATGTGGAGGAAGCAACGCCGTCCGATTTCCTGAGCATAGTCAGGGATGCCTTCTCGTTGCCTACTGTCGGTAAGAACTTCTGCGAAACCTCTTAGCAGTTTTTTTTTTGCAGGGGGGCTCAGCAGCTTGGGATCACTCGACATCGTCTCTCTAAATTGGCTTAAGTATATAGTTAGGGAGGCATTCTCTCAATGTCTATAGTAATATCCCATGGGAGCTGAGTGATTGATTAACTCATGGGTGCCATGCAACGACGTGCGGGAGGTTTGAAGGTGTCGAAGATGGTTGTCCTTCTGTTCTTCTGGCATAGGGACCAGTGGCAGGGTGGGGTAGGGTGGGGCAAGGAAATCACGACGCTCACCTTATCAGAAAGCCAATTCAATGTCTGTGCTTGAGATTCAGGACTTTCCGCGCTCTCTGGGACGATAACGCAACCTGTAGATTGCTTGGTTGTTGCTTCTGTTACGTGGTTGGCACGAGAGACTTTATTTAAATCGTGGTTGGATTCTCGTCTCTCGTTGGGAATAGTTGAATGTCTTTGGTTGTACTGCTCGACGTACGGAAAACTTTTCGAGTGTGTACTTTTTCCTCACAGTGGAATCAGTGGGTGTTTGCCAGGTATCGTTGCTCTCAATGGAATGCAGCTGCGTATGAATGAGTCTTGGATAATTGCTTGGTAGAAATTAGCGTCGTGTTCACATCTGATCGATGCGGCTGAATGTCGTGTACTATCACTGAGTTGGGGTTATTGCTTTTATGGAGACTTGAATTGCCGGGTTTGCATTGGATGGATGGAATAGGGTGGAATAAGTCGAACGGGTAGATTAATGGACTGGGATCGATAAGCGATAGCATGCGCATGCAGCATGCATGCTATCGGTTGCTCCGTCGAGCACGGTTTGATATCACACATGGTAGACAGACATTACTGCCTTCTTCCCGGTAAATTCAATCTGTTTTTTACCTTTGAGGTTACTTCCGTAGAGTAAAGAAAACGAGTTATAATTGCACTATGCTGCAAGATACGGTTTGCATTTTCTTTTTCCCGTGTCGTTTCTTTTTCTATTTTTATGTTTTCAACCGTCCGATGGACCACGGATCAGATATTAAACTGATCAGAACAAATACAGTGCACTTGATCTATTTTTAGCCAAAAGGCCAACGGATCTAACATTTACGAGTTGATTGACGTGTACTGCAAGCACTAGCCACGAGGGCTTTTTTCATGCTGTGTTTTTTTGTTTTGTTTTTTTCCCCCCCCCTAAGCAGCTGGAAAGATCCTGATGACCGCCATTCCTCGTCGTATGGTACCTTGTTCCCTCGCAGATAGCTCCCTATCATTATGACCGTATACAGTCATGAGGGTATACTCACACTAGGATTTTTCTACTTGTTTTTGTGCGTAACTGCGGTCAGATACATCCTGGTGCGGCCGTAAATGCGGCCAGATACAGTTTTCATAGTGCGAGTGCGAGTGCGCCCTGAAAGTACTAGAGAGTAGTTTCCAGACGAATAAGTTAGTATTGCTTGCACCGTGTTACCGCTTTTCCGTGTGGTACATCGATTCTAGCCTACGGTCTTCACCCGAATAGAACGCCCGGTCAGCATCGCTGCATCTGGACTGAAAGTTGTGCCAAATACAGCTATAATGACCGGGCCTTCTTTTCGGGTAAAGACGGTAGTCTGCGACTTTCTGATCTTGTGTCTCATGTCTGCACTGTGTCATTCATTGCTTTTCCGCCTGCATTTCCATTTAAGTCTAGTCTACATTCTTCCCCCGAATACAACGCACGGTCATTGTCGCTGTATTTGGGGCAACTTTTAGTCTAGATACACAGCTATAATGACCGTACGTTGTATTCGGGGGAAGAAGGTAGTCTGCGTCTGACTGAGACTGACTGAGCTTGTGTCCGATTCGTGCCGGTAGTAAGCAACCAGACTGTTGCCGTCCAGAATAAATGGGGCTTTTCTTTTGATCTACAGAAAAGAAATGACTTTTTTTTTTTTTCGACACGGTTAGCAATTCGACCAACCACCCGTGAAACGAAACTCGTTCCTTGACGATCGCCTTCTTTGGGGGATCGCATGAAACTGCTGCCAAGGAGCTTTCATAAACATGTGGCGTTGTGTTTTATCTTTCTACGCGATGCTTCGCTGCTTCGGATTTCTTATGGCTCCATATCCTTGCTTTTGCTGTCTACACTCTTTCTTTCACATCTTCTCTTTATCTCTTCTTCATTTCCCTTCCTCTCCATTGCTTTCTCTCCTTTCTCCTACGTCTTTCCGTTTCACTTCTTCCTTCCCCTTCATCTCTCCGCGTATCTCACTCAAACAGTTACTCCCCTGTTTCGGATGATCTGCTAGAGGGTGTCCCCACTCATGATTTGCTTTGTGCTGGTCTGAGAGTCAGTCTATGATTTGTGCCATTTTGTAGTCGTGGACGAAAAGGCTAATGTACGCCCACAATCTATCCGCCGATCTGCATACGGGTGTGCAGCTTCATCATATGTTTTTTTTTTCTTCTGTCCGTTGTTTTATTCAGACAAGACACTCATGGCCCATCTATTCAGGATATAACAGAGGAATACCCGAAAATTAGAGACAAAAGATCATCATCATCATCATCATCATCATCATCATCATCACAATCACCATCATCATGATCATCATTATCATCATCACAATCACCATCATCATGATCATCATGATCATCATCATCATCATCATCAACGGCATCATCATCATCATCATCATCATCGTCGTCGTCATCGTCGTCATCGCACGTGTTTGGGAAAAGTCACAGAACCTGCCCCTCGCGACGAAACCTTTGTATCAATTTCCCTCCAAAACGGGGAAAAAGGTGCCGCAGGCCCCTAAATCACTTTGGGCGTCATTTTTTGCACCCTGCAAAATACTTCCCCGCCGTTTTTTACACGTCGGCAGACAGGATGCAAAAATGACCCCAAAAGTGATTCCGGAACCTGCGGCACTTTTTTCCCCGTTGGGGGCAAATGGATACAAAGGTTTCGTCGCCGGGGGGAGGTTTTATGACTTTTCCCTAGGTCTTTCGCTGCTCGAACGATCTGTCTAAGAGTCTGCGGCATGCTATTGCCAGAACTCTGCATGGACTCTTTGTGAGTTTTGTCACAGTCTCGAAGAGTTTTCTCTTAAAAGAAGAGCGCACACACTTCGTGGGGGCTTAGGGAAAGACTGAGATCAGCCCGCGGACAAGGTTTTGTCCCTCCCATTTCGAGTGAGCAACAAACACTTCAACGCCAATCCTATTAAAGGACAACCTTTTTGGAAACAAGCTTTTTAGTTTTTTTTTAATTTTTTTTTAAGGGAAGTTTATTCATGGGGAGAAGCAAGCATGTGCTGGGAAGCGGCCCAAGCTCACCACAGTACAAAAACACATGAGTATCCAAAACAGACTGCACAAACACACACTTAATTCCACACAAGAAAAGGTAAAAAAAAACAGATAGGATTGATTGCCCTGTAAACGTCAGAGGATTCCCTGCATGTAAACTGATGAAAGAGTTTGCCGAAAATATGTCTCTTCAGCCCTCAAAAGGGCATGTAGCAGAGAGCCTACGAACATAGCAGACGATGTTCAGGCATTGACGATGTACAGCAGCCCTCCCTCTCACCCCCTGTTCATACCACGCAGGGTCTACTCAACAATTTTCTGCAAGGGGGAGGGGGTCGGCAAACGCTAACGCATATGTCAGTGGGAATAAGGGCCGTATTTGTGTCCAGTCCGATAATGCAACTATAACCCTCCCGTCTTTGATACCCCCCCTTCAATTTTTGCAATCAGTCAGCTTTCTGGGTTGATCAGCCACTCTGTTCCGGATTCGTTAATTTTAGGTTCCTTGTCTGTCTCTCTCTCTCGCTCTCTCTTTTTCTTTTTCTTTTTTTCCCCCCCTTTTCAGAAACAAATGTGTGGTGAGAGAAAAAAAATATTACATGGCTGTCCGGCGATGCGACGAAGGCAGCCTTCATCTACAAAAGAAAAAAAGCGGGGGGAAACTACCGGGGAGTCACAAGAACGAGTTATAATTGCACTATGGGCCAAGATACAGCTTCGAATTGCGACCCAGCTTTGTGGCCAGGTAGGGTGCCCGAAGTGCAATTGCAAACTGTATCTTGCCCCATACTGCAACAATCTTAACTCGTTTTTGTGACTCACTGAAGTTACTGCCAGGGGTGATCCTGGTAGTACCTCTGCCCCTGGCTCCATTCTATTGGTGGGGACTCTAGGGAGTATCACATGTTGAAAACCCAGTCCACTGCCCCATTACAAAGCATCCGATTTTCCATCTGAGCGGGGCATTTACCCAGCCTACTTGTCTCTTCGTTCACTCAGTATGCAAGAAACTAGCAAGACAGCTGGGCTGAGCTGGCGTTCTAAATATCTTTTGTATGTTTCGAGGTCTTTTGTTCTGGTACTCCCCTTGGGCCCTTGCGAGCTGTGCTGGCTGGACGAGGTATCGTGCGACGTGCAAATGGAAGCTCCAACACCGTATAAACCAACTTAGTATTCTCAGATGGGCCTATGTTTGCAATCTAATCTTGAGCTTTATTCTGGTATTCCCCCTGGCCCTGGGTTTGACAAACACCGCAAACACAGCTCATTCCAAACACAGCTCATTCCGAAATATACTAAACAATTACACTAACTGACTGGGCCTATGGTTGAAATCTTTGCAGACGAGAACAACAGTGGGCTGAGTGGGGAGGGTGGTACCTACCATTTTTCCATTGGCTTTCTTTGCTTACTTTGTTAGTTTCCTCTCTTGTCCCCTCTTTTTTTCGTCACTTTCCTCCATCCTGAATTCCATCCGTTGTGACTCTTGTTATTGGTACATGTCACTCCATGAGCATGGCGTGATCGATGTTTCTCTGCTCTCACCTCTTACACATTTGATGCTGTCTTCTTCGTAATGAATCCGCATCTGGTACAGCCAAGCAGGCATACTTACAGATAGATAGATAGAGAGGAAACTGAGATACACACCTACGTAGATAGATAGATAGATAGATAGATAGATAGATAGATAGATAGATAGATAGATACAGAGACACACACACACACACACACACACACACA